TTGATGTGTGATAAAACAGTACCAAGCCACGGGGGTATGGTGAGCGAAGGCATCAGAATATCAATTAACCTGCTCGGAACAAAGCTGCAGTGCCGTAGTGGAATAGACATTTCACTGAAGTGTCAGGAAGATGGATAATGTATTCTAATTAGGGATTGACGGATACCTCCTAATCGAGCCACTGCTGGAAGTCAGACCCGGAACCTAACTGTGCAGGGTTATCCTGAATGTCTTTAGTGTCCCATAATGGCAGCTGTAGGATGCTATTTACTGATTTATGACTTCTTGCTTTGCAAGAACTCGCAGCCATTACAGTGTTCTCAGCTAAAATTGTCGTTTCCCCTTGAAAGTCCAGTCCATTTTGCAACTGTACTGTTGCACATAACTTCTATAAATGCAAGAGTTCTGGGAAAGAAGATCTTTTCCAAGCACTGTGGCTAAGCCCAGGGCTTCCATCTTGAGCGCCTCCAGGATTGATGCTCCCTGACACAGAGGCCTTGGTCACTGTGTCTTTCCTTCTAAATGAACCAACGTGGACTGACTTGGGCCAGTGCAGGAATGAAGGATCTCCATGACTGCCTTCCGCATAGAACATGGGGCTGCTTGAACGGGGTGGGGTGCTGTTCTAGAGGTCCCTCAGGGACCTAATTTCGTACACCTGGGTCACTCCCCCTCCCTCACCACCCCTCAAATCAGAAAGAGCAGTCAGAGAGGTGGTGGCCTGGGGTCTGTTTCAGAAACCCCCACCTTGTTTTTTTCAATGTCTCATGTTGCACCAGTGAGGCCAGGCTAATTAGGGAGATGTTCCTCATTTTGCTGCACTTTTCCTGTGTAATTGGAAGTCTCGCTTTCTGCAGTGAGAAGTCGGTGAGAGCTGTTCCCCTGAATAGTTCTAAAAGCTTTGGACCACATACTGATATCAGCTGCAAATTTATGGGCGAGATTATAACGATTGCTCAGTAATGCAATATTAAAAGCAGAGGTCTTTCTTGGTGCTGAGTGAAGATGGAGTTCCAGCCTTCTTCCAGCTTCAAAAAGTGATTTAAAGGAGAATTACCAGCACTTGTACTATAAGAAGCAATCATTGGGCTCACAAATCCTCCCCCCTTCAAATAAAGAAAGAATATGGTTTGGGGGTATGAATTTAGCTAAAGTTCAGAAAATGTTGGTTCAGTTTCCAGGATGTGAGCAAGAGGGCTCTCAGATGCTGTGTCTCCTGGTTCCTGTGGTGTCGCTCACATCTGCAGATGTTTGCTTGTTTTAAGAGCTGCAGCCCAGCACTTGGCTGGCTATAATAAGGACTTGAGGGAGCAAAAGGCTGTTAAAAAAATTTTTTTTACACTTTTGCCTCATTAGTCCTAGAAACTAGGAGTTCAGTGGCTGTGAGTTTTCCTGTATAATTTACGAAATTAATGAAAGCATGCTTGATTTTTTCCAACACTCTTTACTCTGTAAATATGTTTCGCTTTTTGTAACTGTTGGTTGAGCTTGTTGGAACCTAAATATTTTAATATTGAAAAAATGTGAGCACTTTTGTTTTTGTTTCTTAAGAAGGGCATTTCCTGCCATCACTCAAACTCTTCAGTAAATCAACTGTTATGGGTTATGAGCGGCCTTGAGTCTAGGTTCACTCATATCAATCCATCCTCTAACGTTAAAGCAAACAAGTTCTTATAATGATTGAGAGGGAGGGGGCCTGTGGCAAGGGGGGAGGCCCTTTCTACGCATCAGAGTTGGAAACCTCATTTTCAACCACTATTGCCTATCCCCCTTCACTGCAAAATGAAGAGTTGGAACAATTTGCTGCTTAATTTCACTCTTCCAAAGCTCACTTTACCTCATTTATCTAGATATCAAGTCTAAAGCATTGAAATAGTATGTATATAAAGGGGGAAACTGAGACTCATGGGACTTGAAAGGACTTTAGAATTATTTAATCTGAACATTGATGGGGAACATAAAAAATCTTAAGTAAATGGGAAGATAATGTGTTGACTTGATATAAAAATGTCGACCTTCATTAATTAATCTATACACTTAATATAGTTACAAAATCTTAGTAGAATTTTTCTTCTGGAGTTTGACAAAATATATATTTTTATTTGCAAACCATTTATCTGGCAAAGGACTTGTATCTAGAAAGTATAAAAAATGAGATAAAAATCCAATTTAAAAAATGGGAAGACACTTTACCAAAGAAAATATATGAATGGAAAATAAGTACATGAAAAGATGCTCACACCATCAACATCATTAATAATTAAAACCAAGAAACAAAACCTATTGCTATTAACTGAATTCTGACTCATGGCGACCCCATGTGTTACAGAGTAGAACTACTCCATAGTGTTTTCTTGGCTGTAATCTTTATGGAAGCAGATCACCAGGCCTTTTTTCTGAGATGCCACTGGATGCATTCAGACTGCCAATCTTTAGGTTAGTGGTTGAGCACAAACAGTTTGCACTACCCAGGAACCTCAGTAATAATTAAAACCAAAAAACCAAACCCGTTGCCACTGAGTCAATTCCGACTCATAGCAACCTTATAGGACAGAGTAGAACTGCCGCATAGGGTTTCCGAGGAGCAGCCAGTGGATTCGAACCGCCGATCTTTTAGTTAGTAGCAGAGCTCTTATCCAATGCACCACCAGGTTTCCCATTAATAATTAGGGAAATACGAATTAGGGAAATACATATCAAAATCACAATGAGATACCACTACACACCCACCAGAATGGCCAAAATCATAGCCTGACAATACCAACCGAAGGTGAGAATATGGAAAAACTAGAACACTCATACATTATTATTTTTTTAATTTTAATTTTTTTTAAAAATAATATTTTATTGTGTTTTCAGTGAAGGTTTACACAGGAGTTTAAGATCCCATTCAACAATTTCTACACAAGTTGTTCAGTGACGTTGGTTACATTCTTCACAATATGTGAACATTCTCGTTATTTCCTGACAAAATATTTTTGATCCTCATCTGGAAGAACAAAGCTTTTGAAAAAAAGAAAGGGGAGCATGTCCTATTAGATTAGATGTAACATTAAATTACAAAGAAAACAATAATTTAAACAGTATGATTATAGACAAGAATATACGGGCAGAAGGATGGTAACTGTATAGAAAGTATAGTGCCAGAGTTGAGGTCATATCAGAATTTAGACTATGATAAAAGTGGTATTCATATAAAACGGAAAGGGTAGATTATTTCTTAAGTGAGATTGGGACAATTGGCAAGCCACAAGGAAACCAATTAAATCACAGCCCCCCATCATTCCCAATATAAAAATGTCATTATACTTAATATTTAAAGGTAAAAAGTGAAAGCGTAAGAGAACACAATTTAAATGCATGTGAATATTTTTCAGCTTTTGTGGTGGAAAAGGCCTTTTTACGCATCCATATAAAGCCAGAATCCAAAGGGGTGAGGTGGGGAGACTGAATGATTTGGCCAAAAACTTGCGTGTAAAAAATACCATGTGCAAAATTAAAAGGCCAAAGATAAACTGCAGAAAACTTTGGCAACATTGTATGCCTCAAAGGGGTTATGGTAGCATTTGCCAAAAATAGGTTAATATTTTTAATATGTAAAGAGCTCTTGTAAATAAATAAAAGGGTAAAACCCCAAAGGGAAAGAAGATAGATGGCACTTTGAGAAAGAAAAAATTCAAATAACCAATATATACATGGAAAAAATATTGAACATCACTAATGATCAAAGAAATGTGAATTAAAGCAGCAATGTATACTATATTTTGCTGGAGAGATTTTCTTCCCCCCCAAGATAATGCCCAGCATTGGCAAAGATGCAGGGAAATAGGTGCTCTGCCATTGGATTCATAAATTGGTTGGGTCATTTTGTAGAATGATATGGCAAAATGTATTAAAAGCCACAAGAGAATGTATCAACTTTTAGAAATTTATCTTCAGGCTATTAGATGTGCATCAAGATGTATGTTCAAGTATGTACAGCATTTTTAAAAATAATGGTGAAAAGGTGAAATGAAGCTAAATGAGCAAAAGTATGGGCTTAATTAACATTTGGCATGTCAATTCATGCAATACTAGGTAGCTATGAAAACTCTGTGCCATGGGAAAAGGTTCATGAAATGTTTATGGTATATGAAAAGAACAGATTGCAAAATAGTATGTATGGAGTGAGTCTGTTTCTCCCCAGGAAAATATCTCTGCTTGGAAGAAGACATGCTAACAGTGGCTAGTTTGGGTCTGCAGCATTATCTGTGACTTACCTTATTATTTGAGTTTTTTAGTATTTTCCACATACCGTACAATGATCATGCACCACTTTCACAATCAGATTTAAAGAGTTAATTAAAAAAAATAAATATCCTAAACCAGTTCCCTAGCTGTAACAAAGAGGGAGCTGGTGCTTGGGGATTTCAGCCCTACAACAAGTTAGCTACAGAGCAAATCTTGAACTCAGGTCTCATAATGCTTAGTTCAGGGTTTGTTCTTAAGAAAAGTTGGGTTTTGTTTTGTTGTTTCGGGAATCCCATATCTGGGAAACTCTCTTTAGGAAATCATCCAAAATTTAGAAAAAGATATATGCACAAAGATGTTCATCACAGTGTTGTTTATGGTAGTGAAAATTATTAGCCATCAAAGTGTTCAGTTGTAAACCATGGTTAAGTGATTGGGGCATGTTCCCTTGGTGGAACATTGTGCAGCCATTTAAAATGGTGGTAATGAAGAAGCGTACCAGTATGAAAAAACACATGTTGTAGATATAATGGCTGTTGGAAGAAATCAGGACATAAAATATGTATATTAGGATTATAATGATGAACATAAGATTGGAAAAGGATATAAAAATACGAGAGTAGTTATAAGGGTGATGCTGTTATCAGAGACATTTATGTTCTTTTGTCTTAAAAGTTCCAGTCTTTCTATAAAGCTATTATATTCCTTTTATAATAATTTAAAAAATATTCTAAAAAAAAAATGAGCATCTTTCCAAATTCTCTGTCTAGGGCTGGATTCTGGATGGTATCCCTGAAACACGGGAGCAGGCTCTGATGATCCAGTCCCTTGGGATCATCCCCAGACACGTGAGTGAGTAGCCTCCCCAGTTGGGCCCTCCCACCAGAGCTATGGCCCCCGGTCCCCACGGGAGTCATGGAGAGCGAGCGAGCGAGTGACCACTCTGATCTGTGTCACTGGCTTCCCAATGCACATCCTCAGCCCAGACACCATCCAAGAGGAAGGCTTGATGGGCCTGTGGCAAAGTGAGAAAAAGTAGGATGCACACAATGCAAGAGTGGTCATCTGTACTGAGATTATGTTCTTTGTGTTTTGGTGCTGACAAGACCTTTCTTTTAGGAATTCACAGGGACAGGAATGGTTGTTGTTTTAATGTCATTACATAGCAAAAGAAGCATAAAACAAGCCCATCTATGTGAGACCTGCTGCTCAGCATGCTTCTTTTCTCCTCTGCCCAGTTGTGCTGAGTGCACCAGATACAGTCCTGATTGAGAGAAACGTGGGGAAGAGGATCGATCCTCAAACTGGAGGTATGGCCATCCACAGGCATCCCTCCCTGCCCTGCTTTGATGGGTTTCAGAGATGATCATAGTAACACCACCACCTACCACTTATTGAGCACTTACTATGTTCCTGGCACAAGCAGAGGGATCATGAGAGATCACAGAGGCAAACTGAGGCTCAAATGCCACAGGCTGCACTCTGAGCTGAAAGATACTTGGGAGATAGTAAACCCCGGTGGATGAAGAAGCGGAGGCCCTGAGAGATTGAACAAGGAGCCTTAACCATGGCAGAACCAGGCTAGGCTATGGACCGTAATACCTGGGCACTTGGGCTTTGGTCCCCCTCTCTGATGAACCCATCTCCTAGGTTGAAGCCACACACAGGAACCAAGGAGCCCGTCTTTGTCTTCTTGGGACAAACTCTTGTGCATCCGTTGTTCTTTGCGATGCGTGCCCCAGCATGGGTAGCCAGAAGAATGAGGCATGGGGGTTATCTGGGATAATTGGGAAGTACTGTGGGGGAGAGGACCCATGAGCTCAGTCTTCAAGAATGGGCAGTTCATCAGATAGCGTGAGAGTGCTCTTGACCTCCTGGGCTCAGGCTTTGGGTTCGTGGTTCCCTGGCCTTGCTCTTTCTAGGTGTATTACCTGGAATGAGTTACCAAATGTCTGAGACTCAGTTTTCTCTTCTCTACATGGGGATGAAAACACTAAGACTTACCTTATGACAGGACTGCTGTGAGGATGAAATCAGAGGCTGCATGTAGGGCAACATGTTAGAGTGCCAGCCAGAGTAAGTGCTCGAAAAAGCACAGCTGCCTCCATTACCATCGTGCGGAGTGTTGTTATCATCATGTTGATACTGTTAATAGTAACGAGTGCAGACTGTGCTAGAGCAGCATCCTGCACTGCGGCTGTTAGGCGACTATATCCCATCGTGTTCAGCCACCCTGGCCAATGTCTGGCTGCTGGGATTCACAGACTCTGCCTTCCATGACAGCAAGCGGCCAGGCCAGATGCAACCGGTCACCTAACTGCTGCTGGAATGAGGTGATTCTGACCACACCTGTCTTTGTTGCAGAGATTTATCACACCACTTTTGACTGGCCCCCGGAATCTGAAATCCAGAACCGACTGATAGCGCCAGAGGGTATCTCAGAGCTGGAGACGGCTCGGAAACTGCTGGAATATCACAGGAACATTGTCAGGATCATGCCCTCTTACCCCAAAATCCTCAAAGTCATCAGTTCTGACCAGCCATGTGTGGATGTCTTCTACCAGGGTAAACACAAATGGGCAGCTCCACTTGGATGCCTCTGGGACACCCATCCCCAGACATGCATCCAAGGAGCAGGTTTCCCATACACCTCTACCCTCCTTATCCTGACATCACCTAATATGGCAATGGCCAGTGTCCAGTGTCTGGGAGTCAAGTGTAGACATCATAGATGGCCCAGATTCCCGGCCCAGTAACGCATGTGGGGTCTCTGGAAGTGGCCCACTCAGAGACCTTGGGCTAATGCTCTGTACTCAGGTGCAGTCAGATTTCTGGCCCATAGCAGGTTTGAAAGTGACGGAGGTGGGGGAGACGAGGTGAGGGTGGGGGTAGCAAGGAATTTTGGCCTGACCATGAGAGAAAAGGGAGAGAAATTTTATTAGGATTAAAAAAAAAGCAACAGCAATCCACCCCACCATAAGAACCCAAAACACAACAGAAGTCAGGTGCTTTGAGTCCATTTGGAGCAGAGGAAAGCAGCCCCTCTGCTCTTGCCATCCAGAGAAATAATAGTCACAGTGACTTCACAGGAACCAGGCTGAAGTAGGCCTGTGTGAGGTGTGTGTGTGTAAGGAGGTGTGTATGATGGCTGACCCTGAGACTTTGGGATCAAGTGATCTGCGTTCAAATCTAACCTCCACCACATGCCAACTGTGCAGTCTTCAGCAACTCTTTTAACACCTCTGAGCTTCAACTTTGTCATCCCTAAAATGGGAACAAAAATCGTACCTACCTCACAGGTTTAGATGAGTATTAAATGAGATTCTGCAAATCGTGTGCTCGTAGCCATGAGCCCAGTACTGGTTCAGAGAAATGGCTCAATGAACTTCAAATATTATTGCTATTATCATTCTTCAATATCCTGTCAAAAAGGCAAGGACAAGTTGTAATAATTCTATCCCAAAGTAGCTGTATAGTTTTTAAAGGTCTTGCTAAGCTTCTCTTGTCTCAAAATTCAGTTATCCTCTTCGTTGCAATGCCAGGGAAACCCTGGTGGCGTAGTGATTAAGAGTTCAGCTGCTAATCAAAAGGTCGGCAGTTTGAATCCACCAGGCGCTCCTGGAAACCCTATGGGGCAGTTCTACTCTGTCCTATAGGGTCACTGTGAGTCGGAATCTACTTGACAGCAGCGTGTTTGGTTTGGTATTTTGCAATGCCAGGTAAATGAAGCATTTAGTTTGTTTTGACGCAGAGAAAATACCACCACAGACGTTTAAGACACTTGACAGCTTGCAAAGTCCATTTTTCATACATTCTCTCAGGTCCCTTCAAGAAAAAGTTTTGCTCTGGTGGGAGGTGTTTCTGTGTTCCCTGAACGCGGGCTTCACGCCCAGCCTGGCCCTTTCACTGGCCCTCAGCTGCTAGCCAGCTGGTGGAATAAGCGCCTTGGTGCTTGGTTCTGCCTGGGTAGTGTCTATGGTGCAGCCTCACTCTCTGAAGAGGGCAATCAACCAAAAGATGTATGTCTAGAAAATAACGCTCCTTAAAAAAATGCCAGGCTCACGATGGCTTATAATTTACCAGCAATTTTGCATCTCGGAAGGGTCTTTAGTAGCAAACACTACACTCCTAAGATAAGCAACCACAACATTTATCTTATGCCATGATTCCAAATTTACACATTAATTACTTCCAAATTACTTAATTAAATTTAAAAGTTCATATGATCATTCATAAAGAATTCATGCCTGGAATTGTAAGTAAAAATGTGAGTGTCTGAATATTAATTATTATTAATTAATAATGCAGAGAGATAAATTGAAAATTGAAATGCAAAATTATCTCTGTGTTGTTTTTTTAATCTCTGCAGTGCATCCAGCAACCACATATTTTCTAAAAGAATAATTAGTTGTTGAGACTGCCTGGGGGATCATTACTTCTAATTAACTTAGTTATTTACTGTAAATTAAGCATCATTTGTAAGCAGGCTGCTTTGCCTGTAGTATTTGTGCTTTTCGGATGCATTGGGTTATGAAGGTCTGGGAGTAGAGAGTCTTGCTAGGGGGGCTTCTTTCAGGTTTCTCACACGGGGAAAATGTGACATGTGGCAATGGGCTTGGGAGAGTTGCCACAGCTCTGCCAACTCTCTGAGCCCAGTGTACTCATCTATAAAATGGGGTCAAGAATAACACGTCTCTCACGGGATTGTTGAACCAATCAAAGAAGAGGAGTGTTTAGCTTAGCAATGAATGAAGGCTATTGATGATGGTGATGATTATCATCACAACCTTGAAGACAGTCTGTTAACTTCCCTGTGCCTTTAGTTCTAGAAAGAGAGGATTGTAGTATCTCTAATGATCCTTCCAATTAAAAAATCCTGCAAAGATTCCAGGCTTCAAAATTTGTACAATGAACATATCCCAGTGGTTCTCAGCTAGAGGTAATTTGCCCCCAAGGGGATGTTTGGCCATGTCTGGAGACATGTTTTGTTGTTACAACTTCTGGATGTGCTACCGGCATCTAATGGGTAGAGGCTGGGAAAGCTGTTCAACACCATACAATGCACAGGGCAGCCCCCCACAATAAGGAATCATCTGGGCCAAAATGTCAATGGTGCTGGGGTTGAAAAAGCTTGTCACACCTGTAAATGGTTTTAGGGTGGCTGAGTTCCTGAAGTCAGGTGTGTTGGCTCAGCCCCTTGCTCAGGACAGAATCCATTGGAAGGCAAATTTGCAGATGTAAAAGGGCCACCCACGCTGTCTTTGCACAGGATGGTCAGGGTTCCAGCAGGAGGCTAGGTCTGGAGAAGGAGACTCTGCTTTGATGTGGGTGGGCTAGGGGTAGGGGAGGCTGACACTGGCTTGTGGCTTCAGCTCCCGTTGCTCAGGTGCCCCAGTGGCTGCCCTTTTTACAGCCTAATCAGCCTGTTCTCACACCCAGGTGGGAGGCGACCTGGTTTGATGTTCAGTAGTTGTTTCCCTGTGACTTCTTGGCATCCAGTGCCCCCTCTATGGGGGTAACCTTATTGCTGGAGATGCTCACCTCTGTCTTTCCACTTCTCTTTGTTCATCAAATGCCAGGGGCATACCACAGTCCAGGACCATGCGGCTAAATCTGCCCACTCCAGTGACCTATTTGATCATTGCCTCTTTGGAGACTTGCAACAAAGTAGGTGTCACCGGAGTGCAGCTGCACAAATTATTCTCCACCACTTCCTGAGTCCTTTAGAAGTCCCTGCGTGCTAGGCCCCGCTCAGCCTGACACATTTATCAAAGCCTGTATCTGACACTCGGCACAAGCTGCAGAAAGCTGATGTGACCTTCCTCCAGGAAGCCAGCCCTGTCCCAAGGCTTCAGATTAGAGGCTCAGCCCAGATTCCATTTGGAAACATCCAAACCCCATACTGCACATGGCTTGTGTCCCAGGACCAGCCCCCCAACCACAACATACCCAGGGCTAGTTCAACCAGGAGGGAACCACAGACGCCCATGCTGTTTTAGAGGAATGTTAGGGCAGTGCTCCGAGGGGTGGCTTCTGTGGATTTAATCACCTCCTCCCCACCTTGGTGCCCAGGCCTGAAGCGTAATGCTTTCTACCTCAGCTTCACCCCGTGGTGTCTCAGCGGATGCACAGAGGGTTTCCGTAGTGCTGTAAAAGAGAGAAATAATTGCTGCCGTTAAAAGAGCCAAAGCAAAGGTGTTGTAAGCTGATTTCCCTTTATTTAGGACCTGGATTTATTATCCTCATGTCCCCTCTTTCCAGTTCTGACCTATGTCCAAACCAACCATCGATCCAACGCCCCATTCACCCCGCGGGTGCTGCTTTGTGGACCTGTGGGCAGTGGGAAAAGTCTGCAGGCTGCCCTCCTGGCACAGAAATATGGCCTTGTTAATGGTGAGTGCCCTGGTAGTGGCCCTGCTTCTAGAACCTTCTGCCCTTCCAAAAGTTCCTGTTTCATGGGGGTGGCAGAGAGGGTGGGGAGGTCAGTATCACTTGTCTTTCTTGCTGTCTGCTCTTAACTATTTCAGTTAGTTTATCTTTGCAGGGATAAGATTTTTTCCTTCCGAACAATATTTCCATAAAAACATTAACCAATAAAAACATGTCCGCGGCCCAGAGAGCTAGACTATTTTCTAGTCATCATTTTTTATATCCTTTGGAGCAGTGGTTTTTCTGTTATACACCAGAGGTGCTTCCATCTAGCCTCTGCATTTTCCCTTGAAGCTGAAGCTCTTGCATAATATGGATCTGCTGTTGATTTATTTTCTCCTGCCTCGCTTGGCTCCCCCAACCCAGGTCAGTGTGTTTACAGGCAAACAATTTCTGAACCAGAGGAAGACTTCTCGCTCTACACAATTTCAATAAATATTTTACCAGGAGGAGAGAAAATACTGAAATGAGCTCTCTAGGTCTTTCCTAGGGTGGTCCCAGGCAGGCTTGGATGCCAGCCTGCCTTCAAGAGGATAAAGGGTTGGAAAGGAGGAAGAAATTGTAGCAGACACACAGTTCAGTCGGGGGAAGTTTAAGGCACAGCTCCCCGAAACACTCTACAAACCTAAACAATCTCTACTGTATTTACTAAGAAAACATGAGGCCCACACCCCCAAATATATAAATATACATATATACCCCCCAAATTATCCATGTGCACCATATATATATAATCTCAGAAGGATCAAGTTTTGAATAAAAATCCTTTTCACTTAGGTCTCCTCCAACTTAAAATTCCAAAGTCACTGAGACTAGCCAGGAATCAGTGACAAAAATCACACCTAGGAATGGAAATAGGAAACAGAGCAATTATTCCGCAAATTAGCTTAGTATGGAAGAATAATCTGGACACTTCAGGATAAAAATTTGCTTTCCCTGACATCAGTGGTTTTTAAAATAGTGAACAACTGAATTATTCTAATAATTCCTTCTCCTGATTTTACCTGTTAGGAGTATTGTAAGATTGAATTCCCAGCTATGGGTAAGGATGGCTTCGTTGTTAAGAATGAACAGCAGTCTAATTGTAGTTACACCCACATGTTTGTTTTAGTGTCTGCGTTTATTGTTAGGTGAAGAGTTACTGTGCCAAGTGCATTAATGGCAGAGGGAGGATCTGAAAAGCAATAGCAATGCCTTAATACAGTGCACGGCTTCATTTAAATAATTGTCACTACTGTATTTTGTTTAGGCAGGGACTCTCATTCAAGAAAAGTATTTTTTAATTTCAATTGTTTTCACTTTACCAATCATGAAGAAATGAAATTACCTGCCTAGATTTTTCCAGAAATGAAAATAGAAAAGCTCATCATGGTTTTTCCTTTGTAGTCAGTGCTCCACGGTGGGGCTATTTTAGATCATTGAGCATTTGGAGACTAATTCAGAGAGTTCACACTTCTCAAAGCTGTTCTTGGTAAATACAAGACATCATGAGATTTAAGTAAATCAATGGAAAAGCTCTAAGTTTTGAAAAGGTATTCACTGCACTGTTGGGGTTTCTCTGCAGAGGCCTGTCTGAATTCAGAGCTCCAGGAGCTGCCAGCTACCCTGTGGTCACCCCCTGACTTGGTTCTAATCTCCACTTTTATGAATCTCTAAGTCACGGGAAAAAATCAACAAACAACTCAGCTTTCACTCTAATGAGGTTTTTGAAAGAATCTCATTTACAATTGGTAGGAATATAAATTAGCACAACCTTTTTGAAAGGTAAAGGCCACTATGATTAAAATGCTAACTGCAAATCCTTTGGCCCAGTGCTTTCACTCCTAGGATTTTATTCCACTAAAATACTCAGATACTCAGCAAGAGATAAGAGGGTTAGTTAAATACATTATGGTATACCCATAGAGTGGAGTACTGGGCCCCTATTAAAAAGAAACCTATAAATCAACTTGATGTCCATGTATATTGGTAAATGGGAGAGGGGACAGAAAGCAAGCCACCCACTAGTATTCATCAGATAATCTCATTTTTGTTTGTTTAAAAAAGTAGGTTAGATATCAATATTGGTTCATCAGTTGTAACAGATGTATCACAGGAATGCAAAATGTTAATGATAGGAGAAACTGTGTGTAGCAGGGAGAGGAAGTATATGGGAACTCTTTACTTTCTGCATAATTTTCCTGTAAACCTAAAACTGCTCTAAAAGATAGTCTATTTTTTAAAAAATTATGTTAGTTTATACTCAGAAAAAAATATGAAGGAACACCCATACACCAAACTAGCTCTCTTTTAGAGAGTGGTACATTATACACTTCTGACTGATTTTTTTTTTTTTTAATGAGCATGAATTAATTTTCTAATCAGAAACAACCATGAAGATTTTTATTACAATATTATCAATATTATTTATTGAGTGCCTGCTGTATGTAATGTACTTTACTGGATAGACAGATAGGGTCAAATGTAGAATAAGTAAGAGAGGAACTTTAGGGTCCCGGTGTGCCCTGCAGGGCTTGGGGAGAGGAAACCAGTAAAGTGAAGTGAGGCTGACCCAACATAGTCTCGGGCCTGATTGTGTCCAAAGCCTTGATGCCTCACCTGTGCCCCATAGCAGAAAGACGTTTGCCTTTTTTGATCCTCTTGATCAAGATTATAATTCCCCCCGCCCTCCAGGCTTCGCATCTTTAGGAGAGAGGAGACTGTTAAAGTATTTTCTTCGTAGGATGTTATAGAATGAGGTGGTCGTTGGCAGGGGTTTTAAGCCATTCTTTTCTAATTTAAGCATTTAAAGTTAAACATTTTCCTCTAAACACTGCTTTAGCTGCATCCCACAAATTTTTAATATGCTGTGTTTTCATTATCATTCAAGATATTTTCTATTTTCCCTTGTGATTTGTTTTCTGACCCATGTATTTAGAAAAGTATTGCTTCATTTCTCAATATTTGGGGATTTTCCAGAGTTTTTTGTTACTGATTTTTAATTTAATTCCATTGTGGCTAAAGAACATACCCTACATGATTTTGATCTTTTGAAATTTATTAATACTTTTTTTATGGTCCAGCATAGGGTCTATATGAGCGAGTTACATGTGTACTTGTAAAGAATGTGTATCCTGCCATTGTTAGATATGTGTTCTATAAATGTTGATTAGAATAAGATGTTTGATAGTGTTTTTCAAATCTTCTATATCCTTAATGCTTTTCTCTTTAGTTATTATTACAGTCACTGAGAGAGGTGTGTTAAAATCTTCCACTCTAATTGTGGATTTATCTATTTCTCTGCCAAATTTTCCTTAATGTAATTTGAGACTCTGTTATTAAGTGCATATACGTTTGGGATTCTTATGTCTTCTTGATTAAATGATCCTTCATCATTAGGAAATGTCCCTCTGCCTCTGTAGTAATACTGTCTTGAAGTCTACTTTGTCTGATATAAATATAGCCACTCTTTTTTTTTTTTATGATTAATGTCTGCATAGTATATTTTCTATCCTTTTTCTTCTGAACAATGTGTCTTATACTCTTCATGTGTATCTTATACTCTAAATAGTTGGGTCTTGTTTTTTTAAAAATCCAGTCTGAAAGTCTTTGCCTTTTAATTGAAGTGTTTAGTCCATTTAATTTTTTATATAGTTGGTTGTAAGTCTACTATCTTGTTTTTTGTTTTCTATTTATGTCATATGTTGTTTATGCCTCCTTTCCTGCCATCTTTTGGATTTATCAAATATTTTTTAGTATTCCATTTTATTTCCTCTGTTGCCTTTTTTGGCAATACCTCTGCTTTATTTTGTTAGTGGTTGCTCTAGGGATTAAATATGCATCCTTAACTTATTATAGATTATCTTGAACTAATATTATATCCCTTCATGTATAATGTAAGAACCTTACAGGAGTGTATTTCCATTTACCTTGTTCTAGTCCTTTGTGCTATTGTCAGACATTCTACCTCTACATATGTTATATGCCCAACAATACACTGTAATTATTTTTGTTTTAAACAGTCATTTTTCCTTTAAAGAAGTTAAGAACGAGGGGGAAAAGGGCTTTTATACTTATCTACTTGTCAACACTCTTTACTGTTTTGTTTAGATCCAAGCTTCTATCTGGTATCATTTTCTTTCAGCCTAAAGAACTTCCTTTAATATTTCTTGTAGTACAAGTCTGCTGGTGACAAACTCAACTTTTATCTGGCTGAAAATGTCTTTATTTCACTCTCATTTTTGAAGGATGTTTTTGCTGCGTATAGAAATCTATGTTGACAGTGTTTTTTCCTCCAGCGTTTTAAAGATGTCACTCCATTGTCTCTGGCTTGCATTGCTTCTGATGAGAAGTCATACATTATTCTTATCGTTGTTTCTGTATGTATAATGTATCTTTTTTCCCTCTGGCTGCTTTTAATATTTTCTCTTTATCCTTAGTTTTCAGCAATTTGACTATGATGTAAACAGGTGTCATGGATTGAATTGTGTCCCCCAAAAAATGTGTGTATCAATTTGGCTGGGCCATGATTCCTGGTATTGTGTGATTGTTCACCATTTTGTCATCTGATGTGATTTTCCTATGTGTTGTAAATCCTGCCTCTATGATGTTAATGAAGAGGGATGGGTGGCAGCTGTATTGATGAGGCAGGACTCAGAGTCTACAGGATTGGATTGTGTCTTGAGCCGGTTTCTTTTGCCATGTAAAAGAGAAGTGAGCAGAGAGACGGGGACCTCATCCCACCAAGAAAGCAGTGCCCAGAGCAGAGCACATCCTTTGGACCTGGGGTTTCTACATGGAGAAGCTCCTAGTCCAGGGGAAGATTGATGGAGAATAAACTTCTGTTTGTTAAAGCCATTCATTTGTGGTATTTCTGTTACAGCAGCACTAGATAACTAAGACACCAGTTGTGGTTTTCTTTTTGTTTATTCTGCTTGAGTTTCAGAGATCTTTGGATTTATGGGTTATTTTTAATCAAATTTGGAAATTATTCTGCCATTATTTTCTCAAATTTTTTTCTGCCCCATTCATTCTTCTCTCTATCTCTCTTTCTCTCATCTCTGTCTTTCTCCCTCTTTTCCTCCCTCTTCTGGGACTCCAGTTCCATTTATGTTAGACTGCTTGATATTGTCTTCTGAGTCCCTGAGGTTCTGTCCCTTTTTCTAGTCCTTTAACCCCTTCTCTTTGCTTCAGTTTGGATACTTTATATTTCCTGTTTTTCTAGCTTCAAATTCACCCATCTTTTCTTCTGCAATGTACAATTTGCCACTAAGCCCATCCAGTGATTTTTTTTCCATTTAAAATACTGTATGATCCAATCTTAGAATTTCCATCTGATTCCTTTTATAGTTTCCATTTCTCTCCTGAGATTCCCCATCTGTTGATTCATTTTAACTATATTTTTCTTTAAAGTTTCAAGCATATTTATGATGTTGTTGTTGTGTACTGCAGAGTTGATTCTGACTCATAGTGACCCTATGTGACAGAGCAGAACTGCCATATCAGCTTCCTATGTAATCTTTATGAGAGACTATCACCAGGTCTTTTCTTCTGCAGAGCTGCTGGTGGGTTGAAACTGCCAGCCTTTTGGTTAGGAGCCAAACACTTAATCATTGCAGCACCAGGCCCTGGTAGAAATACGCATGGGAGTTCGCTTGAGTCTTTGGTCAATACAAAGCTGTACATGTGTAGGAAGAGACTACAGGAGGCCTGGTAGAGAACAGCTACTGGGAAGCTGTGAACTGAATGGAGATTCACACAGTGCTGGCAAGTGTTGATATTCTGATAGCCAAAGTGGAGAGACCTTGCTGAACACCCCAAACATTTAGGTGGGACTTCTGAAAGCCCACATCTTAGGTGTAGGGATACTTTAGCCCTAGAAGAAGGACTACTTTAGTCCTACCTTAGCAAAGCCTAAAAACAAGTCTCAACAGGATCAAGTTGATCCTTCAATAACTGCCTGTTAGGACTTAACTATTTTTAACTCAATACTCCTTAAAACAGAACACTATGTAGATTTTCAAAAATAAGAGATCTACAGTGTCCAGCATATACTTCAAAACTACTTGACATGTAAAAGAGCAGGAAATTGTGACACATCAAGGAGAGAAAACAAGCCATAGAAGCAGATGAAGAGAGCACACAAGGACTTTATAACAGTTATCATATTAGGTGCTGTCGAGAAGATTTTTGACTCAAGTGACCCCATGTGACAAAGTAGAACTGTCCCATAGGGTTTTCTTGATTGTAATCTTTATGGGAGCAGATCTTTCTCCTGTGGAGCCACTGGGTTGGTCTGAATTACCAACCTTTTGATTAGCAGCTGAGTGCTTAACCATTACACCACCAGGGTTCCTTAAGGAGATGGTAGCCTATATTTAATCACTCAGTGTCTACTGACTGACACCTCCTGTGTGCCAGCCATGGCCCATGATAGAATGGCTCCTGCTTGCGGGGAGCACGCATCCAAAGATAGCCCTGCTATCCACCTACAGTATGGTGCCTTTTAATTATGCGTTAATCTGTTTATTATATAACTTAATCCTATAGTATGGACTACACACCAAAACCCACCCTTCCATGGAAACACCTTGCCAACAGAAGGGCTGTGCAGGCAACAAGCTCCCCACCCTTCCCTGTGTCATAATGATGTGTACGCCCTCATGGCAAATTACTCAGAAACAAGTTAAATAGTTCTCCCCCTGAATGTTATTCCTATTCCTCATCATGGACCTTGGGAGCTTCAAGTACAGTTCAGTAATTCCTGGTGTAACTGAGGCCTTGCAGGAGTTTCTAGGTTGGCGACATCCCTTATTAGTGTCTTCCTTGCCCCCTTCATTTTTAATACATCCTTTGCCAAATGCATTCTTTTTCATTCCACATCTTCCTCCTCAGCTTCTTTTATATGTCCGAGTTTCTTTTTGATATTTATTTTTGCTTGGACACACACCCACACACAGAAAAACCCTTTTATATTTTTTTCAGTGACCTTTTTTTTTTTTCCTCCCAGCAGGCAGCACTAGGGTTTCTTTTTTTCCTCATTCTTTCCTCTATTTAAAATTTAACAGTGCCTTTCTGTTCCTCTCTCCTCCAGTCTGCTGTGGGCAACTGCTGAAAGAGGCCGTGGCAGACAAGTCAAGATTTGGCGAGCTTATCCGGCCTTTTTTTGAAAAGAAGATGGCAGGTAGGCCACACTTCCCAGTAACTGTCAAACTGTCACAGGCTCTGAAGAGAAAGTGCACTGTGTGAGGCCCTATGAGCATCTTGGGGCGGGGGGCGGGGAGTGGTCAAAATTATGGAAAACAACCCACCAGGAGATGGAAGTTGGGGTTTCTTGTAAGCAAAGGCTTCATGTGTTATTCCTTGGTAAGGACCGTTGGCTTCCGTGTCTGATCCCTGGTGGGGCGGGTCTGTGAATGTCCTGTGTTATCACTGGCAGCTTAGAATGTTTCTCTTTCTCAACCATGTTTACACTTCTTAACTGAAGGAGCCAAGAGAGACCACAGAGCTTTCCATATCCTTTATTATGTGGTGTATAAAAATATTCTGGGCAAATATTCCTATTTAATCACAAGTCAGAAGATTCAGACAGCTTTGCAGATGTGAGGATGGACTGGCCATTGGTCCTCAGGAAGTTAGATGCTCACCTGTTTGATGAGAGAAGCTGAACCAGATCATCTTTCCAGACTCCATCTATGATCTACAATCTGAAAGTATTCCTGGGGTCTGACCCGCAGGAAGGGCACCTTTGAGATCAATCTAGTCCAGCTTCCTGACTCCACAAATGAGCCCTGGAGAAGGGGCCGAGCTGCCGAGGCCACACAGCAAATTTGTGGCTGGGCTCCTCTAGACCCTGTGTCTCTTCCCCGGAGCAGTGGGTTCTTGACTCACCCACATGTTCCTCTGTTGCATAAAGTGCTGTAGCTCCTCTGTGCAATCAGTACAAGCTCAGTTTTCAAGTGTAATGTGAACATGGCAGGAAGAAGCTGCCATTATAATGGACCATGTGAGTGTTGACTAGACATGCTCAGCAAAATGCTCATTGCCTTCTCTTACCGTTTTCTGGATAGAATAAGTTGATGAGGACACATACAAGAACAGACTGCTTGATCCTAACCATCAGCTGAAAGGGCCTCTGGAGGAGATGACCTGCCCTGTCTCACCCAATCCCCTCTTAAGATGTACTAGTCCCTAGGGTGAACTTGAAGTGAGGCAGAGTAGCATCCATCAGATAAAAGGATCTGTGCAGAGTTAGGTCAGTGAGTGCATCTTTTTTCCTAAGTCCCTGTGGTGATAAATAGAATGAGGTGCAAGCAGGAGGAACCACGGGAGAGTGTGAGCTTTGGTGTTTCCGAGATCTGGCTCAGATCCTGGTGCTGCCCCCACCAGCTGTGTGGCCCCAAGAAGCCATTCTGCTTTGCTTTGCACCTTGGGCTTCTCAGTGGGGAGATGGAGATAGGAACCCCTGCCTTGCAGGTATAGAGAGGACTGGATAGGATGTACATGTTCTGTGCCTGGGAGGCACACTAAATGTAGCTGAGGTTATTAGAAAATACTACTAGCAAACAGCAGCAATGACTGAATACCTGATGTATACTTTAAGTGTAATTTCTGTCTCATAATGCCAACTTCCCATTTATTTTGGTGGGGGGGGGGAGTATTAGCACCTTAAAGAATATTTATTGAGTAAGTGAGTGAATGTGATGTCAAGTTAACATAGATTTACATTGCTTTAAATTTTGCTGCTTAGTATTCTGTCATATGACTGGATGATGATTTAATTCCCCACTAACAAGCATTTAGTGATTCAGAAAGAAAGAAAATGAGCAGGCAAATGGGGCAAAGTGTTAACAATGGGTGAATCTAAAGGAGGGTATGTAGGAATTCTTTGACTATTCTTACTTTTCTCTACATTTGAAATTTTTTCAAAATAAGAAATTACAAAAAATAAATATGTAAGTGGTTTAAAATTTTCACTCCTTCAATAATACTGTAATGCACATCCTTATACATACACAGGTTTACAGACATCCCTGATTAGCTTAGGGTAAATTGATAGACTGGATCAAAGGTAATGCCCACTGTCTTCGGCTGGGTTCTCTAGAGAAACAAAACCAGTGAAGCATGTCTATATACAAATGTATGCAGAGAGATTTATCTCAAAGAAATGGTTCATGCAGTTGTGGAGGCTGGCAAGTCCCAAATCTGTGGGTCAGGCATCAGGCTGGAGAGTTCTCTTGACTCATATGGTTGCAGGCACTGACAAACCGACAATTGGCAGGTCCGATGGTAGGCTGTTGGCTCATGGGGCTGTGGAAGCCGGCAAATCTCAAAATCGGCAGGTCAGATGGCAGGCAGCTGGCTCACAGGGCTGCAGAAGCTGGCGAATCCGAGAATCAGCAGGTCAGATAACAGGTTCAAGTCCCAAGAACTAGAGATCAGACAATGATGAGCCAGATACAGGATCCAGAGCAACAGAGAGCCTTGCCAGAGCATTCACAGATATATTGGATGCAGGTCACACCCCCAAGGAAATTCCCCCTACATTGGAAGAAGGGTGTGACTTGAGTCACACCATCAGGAAAGGTTGTGACTCAAGATACACCCCATACTAATTCTGCCTTATTAACATATAGAAGTTAGGATATACAACACATAAAATTGAGGATAATTACTTAATATCACAAAATGGAGGGTAATTACATCAGTTCACAAAATGGAGGACTACCACACAATACTGAGAATCATGTCCTAGCCAAGTTGACACATAACATTAACTGTCACACCCACTAACAACTGTGATACATACTGTATTAATACACACTCCTACCAACAGGGTATGGGAAAGCTTTTTTTCTCTATAACTTGTCCAGCTCTGGGTATTGTGAGTGTATCGGTTTCCTGTTGTGGCAGTAACAAACTTAGTGGTTTAAAACAACATAAATGTATTATCTTATAGTTCTGGAGATCAGAAGCCCTAAAATCAAGGTGTCAGCAGGACTGTATTCCTTCTGGAGGATCTAGGGAAGCATCCATTTCCTTTGCCTTTCCCAGCTTCTAGAGGCTGCTTGTATTCCTTGGCGCACAGCCCCTTCCTCCATCTTCAAAGGCAGCAATTTAACATCTTCAAGTCTCTCTCTTTCTCTGACCTCTATTTCCATTGTCACATCCCCTTCTCTGACTCTGACCATATTGCCTTCCTCTTATAAGAATCTTGTGATTACATTGGGCCCACCTAAATAATCCAGGACAACTTCTCCATCTTGTAATCATTAACTCAATCGTATCTGTAAAGTACCTTTTGCTATGTAACCTAGCATTCACAGAAACCAAGGATTAGAATATGGACATTTTGCGGGGCTGTTATTCTTACCACAGTCAGTCATTTGAATCTTTGCCAATTTGCTAGATGACAAAAAACTTGTTTACTTTTAAATGTGGGTTTTCTATTACCAGGTTGTTAAGGTTGAATATGTTTTTATATGTTTATTGTTGTTATTAAAAAAAAAAAAGTTGCTGTTGAGTCCATTTCAACTCATAGTGAACTTATAGAACAGAGTAGAACCACCCCATAGGGTTTCCAAGGAGCGGCTGGTGGATTTGAACTGCCAACCTTTTTGTTAGCAGCCAAGCTCTTAACTACTACACCACCAGGGTTCCATTGTTGTTATTAGCTGCCATCAAGTTGGCCCCCTACTCACGGCGACCCATGTACAATAGAATGAACCATTGTGATCCAGAGGGTTTTCATTGCCTGATTTTCAGAAGTAGATCACCAGGCCTTTCTTCATAGTCCATTCTAGCTTGGAAGCTCCACTGAAACCTGTTCAGCATCGTAGCAGCGTGCAGACCTCCACTGACATATGGGTGGTGGCTGTGCATGAGGTGCGCTGGCCAGGATTAAAACCCAGGTCTCCCTCATGGAAGGTGAGAATTCTACCACTGAACCACCAATATTTATTAGTCGTGTGTATTTCATCTTTTATGAATTATTCCTTTATATCCTTGGCCCATTTTTCTATTGACTTATTATTTTATCCTTTCAATTAAGCTATTTTTTCTCCTCTTAACTGCTCTTTGCATATTAGGATTGTTTAACTTTTTCCACTAATTTTTCTTTATATCTGTATTCTATATTTTATCTCTACATTTCAAGTCACATTATAATTTTGTGAGTTTAGCAAATGTTTGAAAAGAGAACGGTAACTCATTATAGCACCCTTAGTTCTCAGACTTCTTGAAATGTCGTGGTGACCGGGGAGGTCGTATTAGGATGTTGATTCTTTATGAGGATCATGAAGCCTTTGGCCTTTTAGTTTACTTTCTCTACTCTGTTATCTTCCTTTGTCTTATAGGAAGTTGGGCATTTACTAGTTATGAATCCTTAATTAACCATCATGCATGGGTACTGTTGTATTTATTATTCCACCTCTACCCTAGGTCTTTGAGGTCAGTGACTTCCTTTTAGAGAGACAGAAATGAATTTACTTGAATCAAAGCACAGTAAGCTTTTATGCGTTTAGTTTAATTCATCCACCACTAAAAAAGGAGCCCTTTCAGTGGTGAGCCAGAGACGGGTCTTTTTGGTGCACTCAAGGGAGACTGAGTGCACATTCCCCAGTCTCCTGTGAAGTTAGCAGCCACTGGGTAACTTCAGCCTTCAGTGTTTTGTGCTAGCTCTTTTCTTCCACAGCTTTTTGTTTATTTAGACTATGCAGCTCTGTACTTTTGCACTTCCTAAAAAATTAAAGACACAACAACCACCCATATCATATCTTCCTAACAGAAGCAATAACTTCTGTCATTTCCCTAATCCTGAGCTCACAGGGCTAGCACAGAATGTATTTACATCCATAAGCACTAACAGGCTCTCATTAGTGGGCTATTGAGAGGCTGCCCAGGGGACCAAAGCACCCGGCTTGCAGAGGAGTGGACGCCAGAGCCACCTAGGTTCCGCAGGGATCCACTTCCCTACCAGCTGAAAACAGGAAGAAAATGTAAATGAATCTTGACAGAATTCTGTTTTGAAGGGAAGGTCAGACTGAACACGGAAACTCTGTTTAGCCAACCACAGCCTTGCTCATTTCAGAGTAACTGCAGCTGGCAGCCTGGCTAAGGCTCCTCTTGTTTTTCTAATTGAGCATTGGCATCATCTGTGACTCAGGGGCTCCCTAGTCTGTAGGT